TTTGAAGCTACATAGTTGGCTTCTGGATAGATGTATTATTTCTAATATATGCATTTTAAGAAATGTAATATATTCTGTCAGTCAGTCTGACATGTCGCGGCATTGGAGTCCTGTATTTTGTTGTCGTACGGAGTTTAGTGAGGGATCAGTCTGATCGGAAAGAACCAAGGACCTCGGCATTGATGATGAGCTATGCATGACGAGGGACCTTTGACCAAAGTGGAAAAAAACATGACCGTACATTCTCACCATTTCCTAAATGTTGTGCTTTGAGAGTTGAAAATAGTTTTTGCGATATTCACAAAATAACGCGTCACAAATTTAGTCTTTTTGGGGGGACCTTCTACGGATAAATCTTAGTTGCGACTGTATTTTATGATGAAATGTCAACGCTCAGTATACCTTTAGCTTTGACATCGGTCTCCCGTCCCATTGCGATCACTGTCAAAACAAGGTTCTCCTATCTCAGTAATGGTAGTCCATAAAATAACTTTGAGGTCCTCATTTAGATGGCCATTCTTTACACCAGAGACCCATTTGTGATTCCCCTGTCTTTGCATCCCCAAATAAACAATACACTCGAATGGAGCATATGTCTCACAGAATGTGCATTTAGCAATAATCTGTAGCCATCTCTGGCATCACCGGTATCCCTGTGTGGATGTTAGGTGGCTCCAAAGCATTTATCTATCGCTGGAAAGATTTTCAATCTGGTCTTGACAGTCAAATGTTAATGAACAGACACATGCAGCCGTATTGTAAATCCACTGCTGGATGAAGGCTTCCTCACACTGCGTGTTGCGGGGGTTATTTCACCATACTCTACGAGTCAATGTGGCTGTGTGAAGTTGGGGGAAATTAATGTGGGGCCATATGGAGTACAGTACAACATTGGATTTTTCTGCACTATCCGCACCCTATAAGAACCCGTTCACGCATGGCGGTCGTCCATCCGCGCACTATCCAGGCTCAACCCCTCTTAGCTCCTGAGATGTGACAAAAATTGGGTGCATTCCTGGTGATTCATCATGGGACATCCTTTGCCAGTACCAAAATATGATAATCGTTTTTTCCCCTTTTTTCTGGCAACAAAACAGGTGTTAAGATGTTAAAACACCAGTTTTCAGTTTGGTGTTTTAAAATCTTAACACCTGTTTTGTTGCCAGAAAAAGGGGAAAAACTTATTATCATACTTTGGTGATTCGTTTAGACTAATGGTAATAAAACAATTGAATGTCGGTAGACAGAAAAGCCTCACTGAGTCTCAGCACGGCGATGGCCAGTTTGACCTACTCCACTCATCGGTGTTTGTCTTCGTGCGAGAGGAGTGTGGAGTATCTGGAGAACACCCATCACACATACGGTGTGGGGGGGTGTGTGAGTGGGATGCTGCTGCTACGGCACACGGGACTTGCAATCCAGGCGCACACCTTTCACCTCTTTACGCAACAAGGGGGACAACACTCCAAAGGTCCACGCAGCTGGATGGATTCACGATGACATTTCAGAGTTTTTTGACAAGCATCAACAGCTCTGGTCAATCCCCCCCCCACTCAAGCCAGCGTCACCAGTCATTGGCTGCCGCTCCGTTGCTATTCTTGACCATCGTCGTCCGTCAGATCGACGAATCTCCGGCCCAAGCCCACTTACTTTTCTTCATATGTTGGAGATCGTGCATATGCGCGTTCTCTAATGCACGCGTTCCTCTCTCTTGTCTCTCATTGTAATTCCACGCGTGCATGTTTCCTCGTCACATTATAACAACGCGAAAACGTAAGTCAGCATTTGTGGTTGAATGTTAATAATCTGTTTTTGCAAAATAACGCCGTGTATAAAACATTGGGCAAGTCTTGGGCATTTGCAAACGGGACGTGAGAGAGATGCGTAGTGCTTATGCCATTGACTTAAATTGGAGATTTAAAAAAAATCAATCTGACAATTGTGCTCGGCACAGACGCACACTGCCCCGCACACATCACTCATGTTGATTGGTCAACGGGCGCCGCAAGAAACCAAATTTCACTCGTGTCAGTCATTGGCTTCGTTCTTGGATAAATATCTTTTCGTTGGTTCACGAATGTGCGCGGTCTAATACGGGAGCTTGGAAATTACGAGGTGCACTGTGGAGCTCTTGGACAAGGGTGAAGGATGGTTGTAGATCATCGGCTACTGTATAGAAATGTGTGCACCACTTTATTGATTTTTATTTGGGGAGATGAGCCTTATTGCTAACACCTTGCAAAGGGAATATCCTAATCTCGTAATGCCACTCTCCACCTTCGCTCGCTCGCTCACTCTATCCTCTGCCACTATTCAATTTGGCGACTTTGATTTATAATCCTGAGGACAATTAGTTATTCAACACTGCAGTCTATAGACCATTGCCAGAGTCCATCTGTTCACCTTAATGCCGTGAAGGTTTTTTTTTTCTCTCGACAGCTGCCAGTGTGTGAGCAAAGCCCGCTATTTTTTTTGTTCAATACAAGTTATAATTGCTCGCCTAAGCAGTTAGTGAAGGAAGAGAGCAACCTTGGGTCTTATCACATGTTGTTCAGAATGATGTCCGACGTTTTACTTCACGTGCTCGGAGCTTCTTCATTTGAGTTCTTGAAGAAGCTCCGATCACGGTGAGCGAAATGTCGGATATATTTTAGCCGGCACGGAAACACATCGGAGAGGTATAGCGCATAAAACTGCGAAAACCTACGCTTGTGCTCTAGTCAGCTGAAAATGTGTGTTGGCCAAAAAAGAGAATTACACAAAATAAATGTAAATAATCTCATTCAGCATTTGTTTATTATGGCCTTCTTATTAATCCAGATTAAAATATTGCACTGTCAACACTATTCTATTGAGGCCGAGGCCATACATTATTCCATTATAAATATAAAGCTTAAATTAGTTATTTGGCAGTGGAGAAATGTTGGTGATGCACGGTCGTGCTTGTGTGAAACATTTGCTCAACATTTAAATAGCCGGCGCTTGCAAAGCCTCAATTATATAGTAAGCCTCGCTGTGCGAAGAAACACAACACACAACTTTTCTCACATCTTCCACAACCCCCTCGCCCGCAACCAACTCTGCCACCGCCCCCCACACAAAGCATCGCATAGGGCCCATGAGATGTGTCGAAATGCCAGCGGTGACAACGGTAGCAGCTGCTTGGAACACGTGCTACGGACAACACATGCTTGGTCACGTGGGTCCCTCCGCACTGCTCATAGAAAGGGGGCTGCCTGTATCCCTGGTTGAAGCGGTGGGCTCACTCGTGGCCGAGATGAGCGTGGGGCTTGCACGCTGATCTTCGGTCGAGTGCCTCCAGAGTTTTTTAATATTCTTCTCCCGTAGTGCAAAGGCGAATATTATTCACCTCTGCTCTGGCTCCGGGGTAAGTCACACGCAGCGTATATGTTGTCGGATGGTCGTAGAATTTCACTTTTATTTCATATCAGGGGAGCCGGTGGATGGATAAAGTAAGATAGTGAATGGTGCGGCAAAGCAATGTATGAGTGGGTTAGGAAATAACGAGTACACTTATTGAATTTATATTGAATGCATGTTTTTATGTTCAACTTTGTTCGCACCGCACGTAGCGAACCGTATTAATCGGAGGTGCAAACTTATGAGTTTATATTTGAGATCAATATCTTTTTAAAAAAATATGATTTTTCTTACTTTTGTGGATGTTGAATTGTGAAATAGCTAATGCACAGCTTCATGTGGACTAGAATAAGCAAAGTTATTTTTCGAAGTTCACATGTTCCTATCGCTTACAGGCTAAATATATGTTATACTTTGGATCCAATGTAAATAATCTTAGTCTTGTCCAATTTAAAAAAAAAAATTCAACAATCGCTGGTTGAATTTCCCAAATCTGATTATTATTTATTATTGATGGGGCAGGGGACAGGGGTACATATGCATTTGTAATGTCATCCAATACCCACCTCGTTGTGTATAGGGCACATCTTCAACATTGTTGTTTGTGGTTTGGCAGGAACCCAGCACTAACAAACAAGACGAGGCATACATGTGGGTGCTTGTTACCAAATTGCATTTCAAAGTAGCTGTCTGGTAGCAGAGGGGCATTCTAAACCGGGAGGGGGGCTTTTTGTTGTCCGTCTCGGCTCGCACACACTCCGCGATCGTGGTCTCTCTCCAGGACGTTGCCGTTCTTCGTCTGAGTTGTGGGCAGGATTTCTGGGAAGTTTGCTTTGTCGGGCCAACTCGGACGTCTGTGGCCTACGACAGGCTCACTGTGAGATATTGATCCCCCCGCCGCCCGTGGAACGGTGGCGCAGTGGTTAGCGCGCCGTGCTATAAACCCAGCAATCTTGAGTTTTGTTCCCGGCCACATTGGCTGACATTTGTTTGCGTATCACATCTGGACCTGGTTGAAATGGTTCTAGGTATCATAGCCCCCGCACCCCCCCTGCTCCATACCATTACTACTTCACTGATCCACACTGAACAGGGTGGTGAAGTATGGCCAACAACCCGCACGACAGACACTGTGCGGCCTTTATTTGTAAATTCAACTTGTAATTTAACCCAAGACGCTGCCTGCATGTGTTGTTCTCCATCTCCTGGTCAAATAAAAAAATAAATCTAAATCTGCTAATTCAGTTTAAGGCGCCAAGGCATTGGCCAACTAAAATAAACCTCCGAATCATTTCCACCAAAAAATGTTTGGCAGCCGCCCTGCTTGGCAATAATTGGTCTCGTGAAGGTCAGCATTGCTCGTTCTGTAGCTGCTGGCCCATGAGGTTTGCCACGTTGCCGTCGTTTTTGTTTATTTGCTTTAAGGAACAACAACAACAACAAAGTACATGGGGCTATTTGCTGGGGGAGGGGGGAGGTGTAGCAATGTTTTTTCAGGCGGAATGTTTTGGATAAACTGTTGAAATGTGCAGGTTTTTTAAAAATATCTATTTTATCTATGTGTGCGCAAGTGTTATCTTTCCTGACATCGTGCAATGCACCCTATGCTGTCTTTCCAGGTGTACATCATCAGTGTCTCGTGGTCAGACGGAAGTTCGCAGGCCATCTTCAGGCGCTACAGCAAGTTCTTTGACCTCCAGGTACACCGAGCATTGACGGACGATCAGCTCAAGTTTTTACCCGCAGTCGTTTCTCTGCGGCCCTTTTTTATGCGCTGGGCCTATATAAGGAATTGACGGTCTTTGAAACTGTTTAAAATCCAAATCCAATTGGCGTCCTGAAATAAATGTCTGGATAAGCGCCCCTTAGCTTGACAAAAGGAGTGAAGCGTTAGGCTCCCTCCCCGTTCGACAAGAATACCATTATGAAGCATTTTTTTTGCATTTCATCACGCGCGAGAATTCTACCCGTGCAATGCCTTATGTCTTCGTCTGTCTTGTTCAATGCGAGCAACTTGAGTTATATTTATATGGTCATATGCAATGTTTGTCACGCACTCATGCTCTCTGGTAAAAAGTAATAATAATTTAACAACGCAGCAAGTATATCCATTTGACATGTGGCATATAAACTCATGCACATTTGACATTTTGCGAGCAGTTTTAGATCTCTTTATTTTTTTATTGGAAACACGCATTCTGCAAGCACGGCTTACGCCTCGAAACGCATGGCCCGCTTCTCGGCTGTCGATCCATTTATCACACGGCCTGGCTCGGAGGCAACCGCACGTGTCTCTGAGAGCAAGGGTTAGCAGCTCAAGGCTTGTCTCTTTAAACCCCAATCCCAGCTCCCGGCGCGGCTGCTGTGCGGGAGGAAGGGCGTGATAGAGGGCAACCACTCCTCATTAGGTCGGCTGTCCCGTATGCTTAGGGGAGCTGAACGGGTCTCTTGCCGTGTCTCGCTAGAGAATGCCATCGGGTGCTGCTGGTACAGGCCTGCAATCGCTCGCTCACCCCACTGCTGGTCGAAGGGTCTTCACTGGAGGGAGCTCTACGGAGCCCCTGTAAAGGGCATTTAGGCCTACTCTTCCGCACTGGCAAGACGATCTTGCAAGAGCTGGGAGTACCCGACACGTAACCCCACCGCACGTGACCTGCCAATCGACTAACCGTGCTGAATCCATTCACACTGCCGCTGGGGGGGGGGGGGGGGTATTCAAGAAACGTGCGCCACTGTTTCAACTCCCGTGCCGAGAGACGGATGCGGCAGACTTATGGATTGCAAGGGCAGTGTTCTGAGCGTTACAGCTCGACAGAAACCCTGGTGTGGGTGCCCTTTGGACTTAGACTCGCACGGTAAGTAATATTCCCTAATATCCGAAGAGCTGTAGCAAACAACGTGATGTGCATTGTAGTGGACCTACCGCCCAGCCCATATTGCGAATACAGTTGTGGGGGGGGGGACCCCTCCCTCCATAAAGACTACCCAAGAGAGCAGAAAATATTTGTTTTTAAGGCTAAGCTGCTCTTTATGTGCAACTCCTCTAATGTAACCGTTCTAGGAAATGGGGAAATGTGCCTTTAATAGAAAGATTGTTCATCAAAATAAACTGACGTGTGCGAGACGCCGCCGGGGGAAATAAATGCTCTGCGATTGCAGTCGTTTTAAATCTGTGAATTAGAATTATAATCCTTGTCTTTGCCCACAATCTGATGGCATGGCTCTCTTGGCCATGTATTAGGCTGTGGTCATGCACAGAGAGGCTTCACGAATTTAAATCGTATTGTTTTTGTATTTTAGGTTTAATAGGGCCCTCTAAGATGAGAGAACGTTGCTTTTCATTACACTTATTAGGCACTGGACATAATCGGGTTAGTGGATATGTCTATGGAGCCATTCATCCAGAAGTGGGTTGACACTTTTTTTAGCTTTGCATGAGCATACAAAATCTGTACTTTGTGTGTCTGCAATACGGACTGGGCCATTCTGAGCTAGTGTTTGTCAGACTTGTGCAGTTCACCATCAAATTATGTGGCTTTTTCACTTCTTAAGCTGCGAGCGGTTAAAACAATCGGCTTCATAAGGTGTGCAAGGCTGAATTTGCATACGTATAAAAACAACGATGGGAAATCGCGATCGTGCGGATCGTGGCACCCTTTTTTAGAGGTTTGGTTTCTTTCCTTTAACCATGTGAGAACTCAAGAGACCGGGATTTGCCACGGTGACCTGGGGCACTATTCTGTTGGAGAGGGGGGGGCGGAGATGATTGCTGAGCATAATCCCAATTGGGTAAAATAATGTTGTGAGGAATGGAGTTGAGAATCACCGGCCTGGTCCTACTCGATTCACTGCACATGTCACGGTCTTCCTCGCCGACAGCGGGCAGTGGGCGACAGCCGACAGACAGCCTGCGCCCTGAACTTTAATTCTCTTATCAAGTCTGGCGCCGTGATGATTTGCAGCTCCTGCGCCGGTTGTTAACGCGGGCCACTTGGCAGTTGGTTGCCCAACGACCCAGACCCGTTCGCAACAACCGTAATGAAGTGCGCGCTATCAAAAAAAAAGTCGACGCCCCGCTCTCTATTTACTCGGCGATTAAACGCGCCGAGAAGGGCGAATCACGCGGGGGGACCCATGTGGTTATGGCAGCCCCCTTTGCAGAGGTCGCAAACGGGTTTTGATTCCTTACCCGTACCCGTACCCGGGCGCACCAGGGTCTCAAATGGGTACCCGTACCCAGCCGGGTACGGATACCCGTTCCCTACCCGTACCCTACCCGAAATGAGTGACAAACGGTTACTCACCAGTGACTCACGGCCTACCCGTACCCGTACCCGGCCGCACCAGGGTCGCAAACGGGTACCCGTACCCGTACCTGGCCGGGTACGGGTAGCCGGGTATCGGGTAGGGTACGGGTATCGGGTACCCGGTTGCGACCTCTGCCCCTTTGTGGCTTGTGCCACCGCTGCCGCTCAGCTGTTGCCGTCTGGGGGTCTGCTTTCGGGGGGGGGGGGCGGGGGGCGGGCAGCGATGATCTGCAGCAGCTGCCCAGTGTAGATTCGACCACGATTTGTCTGTGCCAAGGGGAGCGGTGTCAAGTGTCTTGTTTTACATTTAGGGGAGGGCAGGCTAAACAGACGGGCAGATGGCTGTTTGTGTTATTGTTATCTTCGCGCAGAAACAAAAGTAGGGCCAGATAAGTTTCACAGCCAGGGCGACATTTGATCACACTCAGACTTTTGCCGTTGGAAACATGTTCGTTGCCGGAAAGGGTGAATCTGAATTTTTTTTTTCGTCATTGAAAAAAACAACAACGAAGTTTACGTCTTCTCATGAGGCGGTGAAGCTTTTGGGTGGCTCAGAAATCATGGCGCTGAGCTTGGCACCGACGAACCGCGCACCCCGACCAAAATCAATGCCTTCGGGGTGATTTGGTCACCCGGTACTCCTATCGAGCCCAGACTTGTATAAGAACGGAACACAGTTATCTGGAGGGACTGTCTGGAGAACCCTCCAGTGGAAGACCCTTCCGCCAGCAGTGGCTTGAGTGAGCACAACTGCAGTTCTGCACCTTTGCCAGCGCCGTTGCAGCAAAGTCTAGTAATTACAAGTTGCCTTATCACTCTAGACGGGCAACACTTATACAAGGAAACCCTAGCTCAACAAGGACTGCACCTTGGCCTCTGAATCATCTAGGGGATAGGAGGTCAGATGGGTGAAATATTTAATGTTCAGCTTGGTCTTTCTCGTAGAGCATTGTCAGATATTTAGTCGCTTGATTTACGGCTCAGCGTTTGTTTCCTAACAGGCTTCCACAAACATTGCACTGCAAACTTTCTCAAATGGGTTGACCTATTTTTAATGGACATTTGTGATTTGCAGCAGGTTAAAGATATCCAATGAAATGGGTGTGGGGGAAGGGGCAGCTTTGATTTTTTTATGGTATATAAAACATGAAATGCTCTTGTGAAAAAGAAAAAAGGGCATTTTAACGAAGTGATTGCTTTAAAAAATTTTAACAAACACACATCTCATGCATTTCACGACCTTTAAAGCTCCTTCATCTGTGTTTTGGACGGATAGGTTCTGTTGCTGTTGAAAATACTTTTTTTTTGCGAAATTCACGGGCAGCTATGAGCAGTTAGTAGAGCCATGAAGGCTACTAGAAAGTGATGATGCATTCTGGCAGTCCTAGTCGATATATTTGTCATTGCCTTGTCACCTCTTAAATCAGTGATTCTCATGAGTTAGCGAGCAAGAATTATATTCTGCTTGTGCTATCTGCTCGTGCCTTAAATTGCATATGTAATACTCGTTCAGCTTATCTTTGTACATTTCACATTTTTCTGTGCTGGGTGCGGTTAATGTAAAGGGAAAGCTGCACACTGCATGTCATAGGTCGCAACCGGGTACCCGATACCTGTACCCTACCCGTACCCGGCCGGGTACGGGTACGGGTACCCGTTTGCGACTCTGGTGCGGCCGGGTACGGGTAGACCGTGAGTCACTGGTGAGTCACCGTTTGTCACTCATTTCCCAACGTCTTGTCTCTTCTCACAATTCAAGTTCCTAGAATCAACCCACCCGCGCCTGCAACATGGCTTCATCCCAGAGGTCGCAATCAGGTACCCGATACCCGTACCCTTGCCGTACCCGGCCGGGTACGGGTAGGGTACGGGTACGGCCGGGTACGGGTACCCGTTTGCGACCCTGGTGCGGCCGGGTACGGGTAAGGAATCAAAACCCGTTTGCGACCTCTGCTGCACGTTAATCAAGACGGTGGGTGAAGCGCTTTACGCATTTTGGAATATTTGTCCCACGAGTCTATGACTTTGCTCACGGGCCTTTGACAATCCACTGCCGGATGAAGGCACCTCCACGTCGTCTCGCTCATTGGGGTTGGTTGACCATACTTCACCACTTTGGTCAGTGCGGGTTGGTGAGGGGGGTGCCCAGCAATGGTTCCTATACCCAGTCACCACTGGCGGTAGCAAGGGCCAGCGGTTTCACTAAGGTCGCCCGGCTCATGGTGGAGTGAGTACGCTAACCACTGCGCCACCGCTCAACCACAAAATTGTTCCCTTTGTCATGATGCACCTCGTGCATATTAACAAAAAAACGATTCCATCTTGGTCGACTTGTAATGGGAAATTGGGATTGTTATTTGGTCGCTTTGAATGTAATTGCTTTTTACACTATA